GTGCTTGCGCCATGCTTGCCGGGGGGAGGGGGGGGGGGGGGGGGGGGGTGAGTAAAGGGCGGTGGGGAGATGGGCAGATGGGCAGATGGAAGCTGGAAGATGCGTGAGAGCGAGACGACCGATCTGTGCAGTCGCGAGTCGCGAGTCGCGAGTGGGATGGAGAGCAGTCGCGGTGAGTGTAGCGATTCAGATTGGTTGCGCGCTGCTTATGGGGGTTTGTGTAGGAGGGTGAGGTTAGGAAAGCAGCCCATCGTTTGTCATCGCCTTGGTGAGCGGGCTGATCAGAGCGAGCGAGAGCGATGCTGCTGCCGGCTGCCCGACGCCGTGTGCAAGGCTCCCCATGCAGCGCAACACCGCACGATCAGCATCACCGCTGCGTATGTAATCCTGAATAATACATAATCGTGAATCGTGAATCGTGAATCTGAATCTTCCACAGCCTCATCATCCATCCATGCGCAGTCAGCAGTCACGACTGATGAGTCTTGCGTCAGCACAGTCAGCCATACATGCACCGATCGAGAGGCAGGCAGGGCAGGCGCACATGCTGCATGCAAGCAAGCATGCAAGCAAGCAAGCAACAACTAAGAGGTGGTCCGCGCGTGGGAGATTCATCTGCAGCGCTACATCACACAGCGCGATCAGCGTACGCCACGACGGCATGAGTGATCCGCGCGGCCGGCCCGCGGCTTGCCGGGCTTCTGCCACGGCTGGCACGCGTGGTCGAGGAGATGAAGAGGTCGAGGAATCTTGAATCGTATCGTGAATGCGCTTGGCGGCAACCCTCTACAACAAGCTCCAAAGCACAGCTCCACCTAGATCGACTCTGTGTCTCTCTCTCTCTCTGTGTGTCCTGATCCACGTTCCATACAGACCACCAGAAGAATTCTTGATTTCTCCAATCTTTTTGAATTCAACCGGCGTCGCGGAGAATTTGAAAAGATGGGTCACGTGAGCCACATCGAAAGAGCGCGCGAAAGCGCATGCATGCATATGGCGCATGTATCAATCAAGAAATCCAAGCTGTATATATATAGCGCCCACGCGGTGAATCAGCGCTGCGCCGGCCCGGCTACAAGAAAGCCTTTCGCATAGCCGGGCAATTGTGCGCGCGCGCATCCACGCATATACGGCAGCAACTCAAGGCTCAGCAAAGCCTCTTTGAATTCACATTCAATTGAGTCACAAGAGGTGGACTCGTGACTCGTGACTCGTGACTCGTGACTCGTGACTGCTATGCTCCGGCATGCCTCTCGCCTCTCGCCTAGCTCAAGCACATCTTCCCCGCACCCCCGCCCCATCGCTGCTCTCTTGTCTCCATCCCTACCGCACCATCGCCCGCACCACCAACACCCCCTCAGCTTCCAAGCAGCGGACTACACAGCGCTACAATGTCCGCCTCAGCTGCCAGAGGAAGGGTGGAGCAGCTCGGTGCTCATCTCACCGGCGGACCACTGCTCAAGGGTGAGGTGGCCATCATCACCGGGTGAGTGGGCCTATGTGCCAGAACACGTCAGAGCTTTGCCACGACTTCAAAGCAGCCTTGAGTGGGAGCAAGGTCGCTGGGCAGGGTGGAGTCTGGCAGGGCAATGCACTTTCGCAGAGCGCACGCGAAACGAGGACAGCAGAGGGGGGGGGGGGGGGTGGGGGTTTAAGCGGGCGCATACATGCAGCTTCACGATCTCTCCAAGTCATTCCGAGGCATGCCACGCCACAGCTCATTCGACCTTTGCCGTTCCACATCTCTGCCAGAGCTGGGCGCGGTATCGGCAAGACTACCGCTCTGACCTTTGCAGCGCACGGTGCTTCCATCGTTGTGAGTCGACGACCTGGCACGGGCCCGAGGCAGGTCCGGTGCCCAGTCCATCGCCATTTCAATCCTCAATGCTCACACATTGCCTCTCGCGCGTCTCCTTCGTGCCGCACAGGTGTTCGACATCGACGCATCCGTAGCAGACGGCGTGGTGGGCGAAATACGGGCGAATGGCGGATCAGCGGAAGCGTTTGCGGGGAGGGACATCACCTCGGCCGAAGTTCCGGACGAGTTGGTAGCTTTCGCAATCTCCAAGTACGGCAAGATCAACCACATCATCAACGGAGCAGGTTTCACCATTCAAGCTCCGCTCAAAGATCTCTCCGACTCGGCATGGGAATCCGTCATGGCTGTTCACTCCACCGCTCCCTTTCGACTCACCCGCGCTGCCCTGCCCCACATGCTGGACAAAAAGTATGCGGGGGAGAATAGGAGCATCACCAACATCTCCTCCATGGCGGGCATACAAGGTTTGGCGTACGGCGCCAACTACAGCGCGGGCAAAGCGGCTCTCATAGGCTTGACGAAATCCAGCGCGCGCGAATTGGGCAGGTACGGCATACGGGTGAATGCGGTGGCGTACGGTTTCGTGCAGACGCGCTTGATTGGCGATTCGGACAAGGATGGCGAGACGCACAAGTTGCCGGATGGAAGCGTCATTCCCGTAGGTGTGCCGACAGAAAGAGCTTTTGCCAAAGCGCTGCTGCACGGTAATGTGCTCAAGAGACCAGGCACGACGCAAGAAGCTGCCGGCCCGCTGCTCTTCCTCGCCAGTCCACTCGCTTCCTACATTACGGGCCAGATTTTGCAGGTGAGTTTGCCCACACACGAGGCGAGCGGTGGAGGGTGCAGGGTCCGAAATGAGCGAGTCGATGAGGGGCAAAGATTGATTCGAATGAAGCGCTCTTCCCGACAGATTTCTGGAGACATTTAGGAGCACTTCGCTCGTGCGTGCACGGAAAAATACAGGGACTTTGGACGCGACGGACTGCATCGACTCGGAATCTTGCTGCGCTCTAGAGAATATCATGTTCAAGGCATTGGAGCGAGCAGAAAGGACACGCTCTCGCCGGAAATGCATGCCTCCATGCATGCGTGACCCTTTTCGACCTGACCGGCTCAACCTTGTTCCGTGATTAAAATGATCGACCTGGTCCAGGCTGGCTTTTCCAACGCCCACGCACGACGACGAAAATCATAGGAAAAATTCTGGCAAAACAGCATTGGATGTGTAGCGTTTGTCTCTTGTCTGGCATGTCGGTGGTCAAGGCTCGCGATGAATGAAGGGGTGGGCGAATGGAAGGTGCATCGTGCGAAGGCGGCCAGGCCGGCTTCCTTGAACGCCAATTTGGGAACGAGAAAGGCATCAGGATATGGGAGCTTTTTGGAAGGTCCAGCTGAGATACTGTGCGCGCAGAGCGTCGATCGTCGCTTGGCCCTTGTCCACGTTGCTGTTCGGTCTGCTCTCGAACGCATGGGAGGGCGGTACGAAGCAAGGAGCGCAGGAAGTCTCGAGAGAGAGGGAGAGAGAGAGAGAGGTGGAACGATGGGTAGAACATCCGCAGACGATTGGGGAAAGCTTTCAGCCCTCAAAGAAACTCGTACGACGACGGCGGGGGCCAGGGCGGCAACAACGACTTTTGGGGGGAGAAGGGGACTCACGCGGTGCTCCCGCAGATACACCAAACGGCTTGATTCTGCACGAATTTCTTGTAGTACGTCCAGACGTGAGCTTCATCGTCGATCTGCTTTTTGCACTCTTCGTCCCACCTGTTGGCTTGCTCGTCGAGAGACATGTCTGGCGCGCTGAGCACCTCTATCCCGGGAAGGTGCCAAAGTGGCGGGGCGGGGCGGGACGTGCGGGCGGGCGGGAAAGAAGAAGAAGGGCGCAAAAGCGCGAGGTCTATCTCATCAACTCCTCGTCGAGAAGGGTGGAGAAGCTGATTGGGGCGCGCGGGACAGGAGACGTGCTCGACTCGACTCCGAGGGGCAAGAAACACTCACGGTAGACTGTAGGTGCTAGCACTGCTCGAGCTGCGGGCGACAGCACTGCCCAGAACGCCATCGTGGTGATTGCAGAACGAAGCAACAGCATGGTTTGCTTGCGCGCGGAGAGCGGTTGCAAAAAGGGGGCAGGCAGGCAGGCAGGCAGGCCCTTTTTGGTTGGGGGGATTTGTCAAGCGGGAGCAGATCTCCCCCTTTTGGCTTTGGGAAGAGCGAAATCCCAGAGAGGCAGGCATGCAGGCAGGCGAAGCAGGGCGGCGAGAGAGAGAAAGAGATCCACGAGGCCCTCGTGCGATTCCCCCTCTATAGTACTGGCACAAGCTGGCTGGCTGTTGTGCGCGTCTCTTTCAGCAGCCGCAGTCCGACTGAATGCACTCCTCAACGCAGACGAGCCTAGCTTCACGCCACGCCACGCCAGGCTCTGAGCACAGCCCTCACAAATCGCGGAAAAGTGTTTGCAAGCTGTCAAGCCGAAATAGCTGCTTTGATTGTTTGACTGCCACGATCCGCGGAGCAGCTCATTTGCAGCAGCAGCAAGACACTTCCGGAAGATCTCTTTTGCCGCATCGGTTAAGCAACCCCACCTCATTCGACCGCGCCCTCTTTTGCGCCTTTTTGCATCACTGCGACGACGTTCTCGTGTGATTCGCGCTGGACGCATCGCGTCCGTGTTCACGCCAGTCGCCATTCTCACGCCTTCACATTGCCCTCCGCTGGCTGGGCGTGCTATTCTCAGGGACAAGCTCTTGGCGCCACACGACTGCTCTGATGAAGGACACGTCTTGCGCCGCTCACGCCGTGTCCGCGTCTGCGGTGCATCATGCGCGCGCAAACAAAGCAGAGAGACGGCCCTCTCTCACTCGCAGAAGAAGCAAGAAGAGCACAAGAAGAACATCTTTCATCTCGCACATTTCGGGAAAAAAAAAAAAAAAAAAAAAAAACGTCGGATCGCGATGACGACGGTAGGCTTGCACAAGAGCGAGGCTAGGTCCGGTCCTTGCACTGCGATTGGGGCTCGCACTCTAAGACTCGGTCACGAGCTGATTGGCGCAGTCTCCCATGGTGGACCGAGCCAGGCCGCAGCTGCAGAGGCGCAGTCCGAGTCGCCATTACCCAACCCGCTGTAGCAGTCGGGGCAGACCAATCAAAAAGAGGTAGTCACGCACAGAGGTGAGCAAACGAGTCTATTGCCGGGTGCACGCATTGCGCACCCACCACTCTCTCCTTTTCGCCTCGTATACTCACGTTCCGCAACGGACGACGTATCCGTCAAACTCGTTGCCAGTAAGCTTGTAGTCTAGGCACTTGAAGTACCCGTTGCAGCTCTTGACCCACTCGGCAAAGAGCGCATCTTTGGTCCATTGAGGACCGTGCGGGTAGCCCACAAGCTCTGAGGAGCATCAAGTTTAGCGAGATTGTGCATCAATGCGTCGCGATACACCAGAAGAACTCACTGTGATCAGCGGTTGCGAGCGCTGGACCGACGAGGAAGGCGGCAAGGGCAAGGCCGCTTGCGAGTAGCTTGAGGGTAAGGTTCATCTTCAGACGAGTGTGGTCCAGATATGGTTTCGTTGTGGTTTTGTCGCTTCGCGAGCTGCAGTCAGAGGCGTGGGTGATAGGGAAAGGAGTTCGAGAGCGAATTGGATCTTTTTAAACAAGGCGAGCGAGCAGGAGGACCAGTGGCGAAACAACGCAATCGCACACACTGATATCACATCAACCCTGGAGCTGCTGATAGCATCCAAAACGGAGCATCGATGACCACGACGCAGCATTCGTGAGCCGGTGCGTGAGCGTGGAAAATCTATCGAGATCTTGACTGACCAGGTAGCTTCTTGATATTTCTCTCCAGCCCACGCCGGAGAAGAGCATCTTTGCGCCCAACGGGCCGTCGCGTCAACGAGCAGAATTGGATCGATTGCATGACAGGAACGAGCGCTGTGAACAATCAAGGTGATCAGCAGAGGAAAGAAGAGCAATGAATGATGGCGATATGTGGCGCAGGACGGCCCGTCTGGATCGCCGCGCTCCAACGCCGCTCCGGCCCTCTTTCCGGGCACTTGCACTTCACCTCACTCGCACGGCAGGTGCTCATTGAGATCATAGTGCTAGTGAAGTTTCAGATCTACTCCTTCGCCAGCCAACCAAGCTTGAGAGCACAAGTGAGAGTCTTATCGCTTCCAGTACTGTGCCGTAGCATCTCAACCGGTGTGTGAGCGTTCGCAATGAGTCGAGATAGCAGCGCTCGATCTCTCTTCGCTCGCACTCACGCCGTGTAGCAGTAGACCTTGTAGCCGGTCAGATCGCGAGTCTGGAGATCGGATCGAGCACCGCCGACCTGCTGACAGCCTTTCTCCCACAGAGGGCGAAGCGCATCGGCAGTGGAGCGCGCGGGATACGCGATGAGATCTGGTGGAGTGCGCGCTCGTCCTTCAATGTCGTCGCTCGAACGTGACGCTAAGAGCAAGCTCACTCACTGTGCCACACAGGATTGGTAACCGCCATGGTGCTACTCATCAAGCATGCCATGAGTATGAAGTGAGACCAAGCGAGGTATAGCAGCTTCATGATGCTTGCAGTCGTTCGAATAAGGCGACGCGAGGATTGTGGGAGTGATGGTGGAGGTCGCGACGTGCGTCTGGGATGAAGGGGATAGACGTTGCTCAGCCCATCGTGCCCATGCGAACATTCATCCCAACATCGCTGACTGGCCCGCGGAGTGGGTCCTAATTCATCATGGCCTGGTAAGTGATCATACGCGCGCGCGCGTACACAAAATGTACGGAGGGCAGCCAGCGTCCTCACGCGGGAGTCAATGTTTTATACCATCAACAACTGTGTGGCTTGCAAGCCTCTCCTTCGACCCTCACACTTTTAATTGCATCCTTGATGCAGACAAGGACGGTTTTGTTTAGCGCGAATTTGATCAAAGGCAAGCAAGAAAGATTGCTCACTCCAAAACAACAACGCCAAGCACAAATCGCGAGGATGTTGATGCTACGTCAACATCAAATTTCACAATTATTGCACGAGCTCTATCCGCTGTGGCATCATGGGAGCAACGAGGCGCAGTCGAGGCCCTCTCGGCCCATTCCGTGCTTGCAGTGATCGCTCAGCGGCGAGGCTCATCGGCCGTAGCGCTGCGCCACGCCGGTCCAAGTTCTTGAAACACCTGTGGCAGTAGGTCGACGTTTGATCTGTTATGTTGCAGTCCGGAACGCAACGATCAGCGAGCGGCTCAAGATCACGTGATCAGCCGCGACTCACTTGGTACAGGCGACGGTGATCTTTTCATCGTAGTCCACGTAGAAGCTCATGCCATCGGCCTTGAAGACGTTGCTGCACTGATCGTCAAAGATTTTGTGCATATTCTCGAAGGACATGCCTTCCGGGTGCGACACGAGGACTTGGCCGTCGGACAAAGCGAATGACGCAAATGTAAGAAAGCAAACGCGCTTGCTGAGTGTCAGTCGGACGCTTGCTGTGGCTCACTGCTCGGCTATCATGGCTCACCTTGTCGGGCGCGTGCTGCTGGCATAAAGAGAGCCATGATGCTGATGATGAGGACCGACGAGCGAAGCAAAAACATGATTGTCGGAGTGCGCTGTCTGCAAGCTTCGAATGATCTTTGGGTTCTGTTCTTGGTGGGCTATTGTGCGAGTGATATTTGCGCGCAAGAATCCTCTTCTGCACCAATGCTTGGCTTTTTATCCCTTCACTAGTCGAGTGTCACCATGAAACACAGAGGGATTGCGCGTCGCAGTACAAATTACGATGTGCGACGCGCCGTCTACTTCATCTCAGCCGTGAGCATGGTCAACGCCAACGCGCTCCTCGCCTTACCCGCGCCGCCCGCGGCGCCCTACCCTGCGCTCATCTGTTGAGCCTCCAAGGTGCCCTGGCCATGTCGCGCAGCTCAACCGGAAGGTGCAAGTCAGAGCAGGTGGTGGTCACGAGTTGCCATTCGTGATACCATGCTTCATGCTATTGTGCCCTGTGAGTCCGCTCTCTCAACCGTTCGTAGAGACGATCCGGTGCGCTGCGTGCGCGGTGCACACACACTTCTTGCACAAGGGTTGCATCTGAAACAAAGGTGACGATTTGATTGAGTCGGCTGCATTTTCGCGCTCGGAGCTACATGTGACCAAGATTGCGCAGGAGGTACTGCGCTCGGCGAGCAGATTTGCACAAAGGAAGAAAGGAGAGGAAAGAACCGTCGTGGGTGTTCGCGGGCCGCTACGGGGGGAAGAAGCTTGGAGTCAGGGGGCTGTGAAAATGCCTGCTATATCCTCAAGCGGTAGCTCCGACGACGTAGATGAGCACAGAGTTTGACCTGCCGTCATTTCCGCGAGTAGCTTTGAAGGCGTAGTAACCGGGCGTGGAAGGAACGGGAATGGAAGCGCGTCCGTCGCCGTTCGTTGTCACACCGCCAATGGTAGCCGATCCGGCGGGTGACGAACTGCCACCATTTGGACTTCTCTGATCCACTTGGACATCGACAAAGCCCTGCCCGGCGGTGAAGAGTGCAGAGCTTGACACCAACGAGGCTCTCAGAAGCGCCTTGTTGCTCTGGAAAGCGTCGTAGCTGATTAAAAGGGTGACGTGATGATGAACCAAGTCATCAGCATGGGGCAAGCGTCTTGCAGTGACGAGCAAAGTTTACTCACAGCCACATTGCTTCATCATTGGCGTTGGGATAAACCTGCTCCTGACAGCCACCTGCATTGGTGAAGACGCCATTGCGGAGAACGCCCTAGGTGCGATAATGCATTGCGATAGAAGGTTAGCGTGTCTTCCTCGCTGGTCATGCGCGCTCTCGTGCTCACCCAAAACTTGCTGCCAGTTTGAGCCAGACCACCTATCGAGGTGATGAAGAAGTCTGAAAATTGATTAGAATAACTTCCGTCGAAGTCGAGAGGAGCATCGTTGATGAGCGTAGTGAACGTTCCGCTTGGAAAGCTGTTGGCATTGTTGTTGGTGCCGTCGCATCTGTGGGTGCCTCCGCTTGGTGTGGTGATATCTTTGCCGCTGGTGCTCACGTAGCCTTCGTAAATGGTGCGATCAGTGCCCTCCACGCGGAAATAGCTGACGACATCTCCCGCTTTGGCAGGCGGAGGAGGGGATGCGGACTGCAGGCCTCCTACGACCGTCGTCGTAGTCGCCGTCTGGGTCGACGTCGTTGTGGTCGTCGTCGTGACGGTTGCAGCAGCCAGAGTCGTCGAGACTAAAGCACCAGCAGCGTCCGAGTGAGCATGACGTGACGTGCAAGAGTCTCCCTCCGCCTCGGAACTACTCACCTGTCACGGTAGATGTCACAGTGCTCGTGGGCCGGGGTGGCGGATAGACGGCTTTGACGCAGGCGTCGAAGATGATGCTGGCCCATGGTTTGAGGGGTGCGGGCACGGGCACGACGTACTTTGCGCCTCGAGGTTCGAGATCGCGACGACGAGCGGCGTAGGTCTCGCCTGGCGGTGCATTGTTGGGATAGAAGAGGCTGGGGGTGACAGACACGGTTGTCGTAGTCGTTGTGGTTGCCGTCTCTGTCGCGGTAAGAGTGGTAGCGGCAGGCGTGGATGTTGCGGTGACCGTTGCGGTCGTGGTCACCGTCGTAAGTTTGTCCTGGTACTTGTTTGCTTTGAGATAGGCCTTGCAGTGCTTCACCAAGAGAGGATTGGAGCTGATGATTCGTGCAGCTCCATCCACCTGTTGTTGGCGCGTTGGGATAAAGAGGGGAGTGCTGATGACCTCCGAGGCGGTGCCAAGTAGAGCCAGAGCAACGCCGACTGACGTCGTGAGAGAAAAGAGCTTCATTGCGCAGATAGAAAAAGTGAGCGGAGGGGAGCGGAGGATGGGTGAGATGTTAGGAGAGGATTAGGAAGAGGATACCAGAAGCGAAGTGCTAAGCTGGGCTCGCGTTTTTATACCTTGCGTGGCGGTCAGTCCTCCTTGCACGATACTCATCCCGAGTCGCAAGACGAGTAGTAGCCAGTCACGAGTGAAGGTGGACCTTTGCATTCGCGAGCGCTGCAGACCTCCCCGAGCTTCCTTGGCTGCCCAAGGACTTGCAGCAGGGGACCTTACCACGCGACAAGGTCTCATCGAATCCCATGTCGAAATGATGAGAAGCGCGACGGCGACGCAGAGGCTCTTTGCGCAAAGCGTGATGGCGACGCAGAGGCTCTTTTCTTGCGCGAAAAGCAGAGACTTGGAGCACGTTGCTTGGAAGACGTGTGGCTTGACTCGTCTTCCGCCACACCTCGCCTGCAAGGGCGCGGTCCTACCGTGTATCGGGGAGGCGAGGCGGCCTCAACGGGCAGCGGCACCACAAGGGGGCCTGGTTCAAGCACTTGATCCGCGATCTCGAAGCAAACGTCTCGAAGGGACTCGAGCGTCCAGAAGTGGCCCCGGATACCATATTTCCGTGATGAGACCATGATGGGAACGGTAGCGCTCGCGATTGTTCACGGTCGAGATGCATCGCCCAAGTCCTGAGTTCCGAAGTGTGAGCATCTCCAACACTCAATCACGAATCTGGGACGCGTGTTGGCCCGCTTTCTGCGCCCTGCACCTCCCCGAGACGCGCGCGGGGTCTGCGTGTCTGCGTGTTGCATGCACACACGAAGGCTTGTCCTCCGCTCTGCTTGCTGCACGAGATGCTGCGAAAAATCAGTCGGGTGAAGCCGATCTACGACTCCCGCAGTCCTGAGTCTGAATGTGCACAACGAATCGGATGTGAAGTCGTGAGTGTGCCGCGAACGTTCCTCGCTCCTGATTGCAGGCGCGCATACGCGGGGAGCATGCAGGCTCACTCACTCACCCATGCGTCGAGAGACGCGCACGCTTGCTTTCCAGCGCTCGCGGGCAGCAAGTCGGAGCTGCAGTAGTGGTGGTGGTGGTAGTAGGCAGATTTGATCCCGATCCATCAAGGATCTGAATCGCTTTCCTTGCTGCGCCTTGCGCTTCCTCCCGGGAAACGCATGCAGGCTTTGAGGCTTGCGGGCTGCTTGCTGCACTCACAACTCCACGATGATGCTCAGCAGCAGTAGTAGTCGTGAGTACAAGCGCTTTCAAGAATCGATCATCTTGCAGGCGGCAAGGTTGAGCTGAGGTTGAGTCCGGCTTGCAGGAGACCCTCGATAACTTTTGCTCAGCTTGTACGTAGCGCACGCAGCAGCAACCAAGAAATCGTGAATCTACAGTCTCATCCAATCAGGCTCTCGATTGAGCACGCGCTCCAACTCGGCGAGCATGCGGCCCGAGCGAGCGAGCTCGATTGGCAGGGTCCTCTCTGCTTTCCACCTTCAGCCACACGATGCAATGCGCAGATGCATTGTGCGACTCCCATGCAGCAAAAGAAAGAATCTTCAATCGCACATCTAACTCGTAACTTCGACTTTTGAATCCTTTGCGTTGTTCCAAACGGCCTGCCTTCCGCGGAGATGCGGCTCGTCCAGATTGAAGGCATCATGCAGACAGACACAGACAACTCGCCGCCCTCGCATTTTCTTGACGGTCGACGATTGTGGGGGTCCGACATTCGTGATTGGATGAGGCCAAGCGATGGCGAGGTGCGGAGCAGCGATCCAAGACACGGGAAGCTTTTCTAGCCCTCGCATGCTTCCCGCCGGCATTATGTACCCAGCAGGCATTGCAGCCATGCAGCTGCATTCGCTTCGAGTTCTCGAGTCTGTCGCAAAGCTCGCCTGCCTCGTCTGCCGCTCGCGCTTCAGAGCCGCCATCAACGCCTTTCGGATCTCGCGCAAGCCGGAAGCACGATGGCGGACCAAAAGCTCGACAAAGTACGGGTTCAGTGGAATTGCGCGCTGGGACGGGATCGCGGTGCATTTTTTTAACGCGCACTCGACTCCCGCTTCGCCCTGCACTCTACTGCTCGCTCTCGTGCCAGTGCTTGCTCGATCGTCAATCCGAGTTCCTTCAAGCCCCAAGCCCCAAGACCCAAGCCCCCAACTCTCTTCTTGCAATCACAATCCACGAGGAAGATTGGAGCTGCATGTACCGCGACACCGAACGCGACGGACTCGTTCATCCTTGTTCGCCCGCTGATCGCGCTCTGGCTGCGTGCGCGTGCGCGTGCGCGTGCGCATAAAAACGCGTTCGGATATTCTGATTCTTGATTAGTCACGTGTCGAATCACGGGACAGACGTGGACCCCGTGCACTCACACTCACACTCACACTCAAGACTCTTGACTTCGAATCTTGATGAATTCTGATTCGTGATTGAACCCTGCAGATACTGGTATCTCACTCACTCATCCCCACACCTACTTTATTCGTGTCCTTCGTAATTTTGAAGACCAGACTCGCAATGCCAAAGCAGAGACAAATGTAGCTTCTGACCAGCCACGGCTTGTTCGACCACGATTCGATACACGATACACGATACACGATACACGATTGGTGCTTCAAGATTGCCTGTCCGTCTTGATTGATGCCGTCACCGTGCATGGATGTGTGTTTGAGCGTGATGGTGGTGAAGCTTCGAGCCACTTTCAGCACGTGATGATGCTTTTAACGCGTCGCGCATCTGGCCCCGCTCGTTGCGCCAAGTCACAAATTCAAAACGTTGCGCCGGCGGGAGGCGCTAAAAGCGTGCGTTGCGCGCGATCGTGTCGCGTGAGAGCGGAGGCGGGGCTGCTATATGCGCATGCAGCAAATCTTTAATTGAATTTTAAATTTTGAATATGCTGGTGGGGCTGCTGACTTGTCAGCCAATTCAATGAAGTCGTGAGCTGATTCAAGATTTGAAATCAGAATCGAGGCGACACCGGTGGACTTGCAAGTCACATGACTTGCTTAGCGCCTCGAGCAAAGCGGGTCGATGCAGCATCCCATCATCATCATCATCATCATCATCACTACTGTCAACGTCGTAGGTCATCGCGCGTGGCGCGTCGCGTGTCCCGCCTCCCGCATCCCGCATAACAGCGCGAGGCTCAAGCCCTCGCTTCTCACCGCATACAGTCCGCTTTTCAGACCTCTGCGACTTGATCGACTCGGCCAAGGATGGTGTTCTTGGTCAAGATCCCAAACAGAGGGGCGGGAAGGGATGGCAATGCAGAGGCTCCCTCACAGCTGGCATCGTCCTTCGCTCAGGAGGAGCGCCAGGGATTGGCTGCAGACCAGGCCGCACTGTTACTGCCAGCTACAAGCTCCTCAGCTTCAACCGCGACGGCTGCTGACCAGGAAGGCGATCGCGATCAGCAGAACACGACAGACGATGACTTGCTCCAGTCCCTCGGTAGCCTGCGCTTGGACGGCGCCACTACGCCTGCCAAAGCTCATGAATCGGCTTCCGCTTCCACCGCTTCCACCGCTCCCGCACGCCCCGCTGCTTCATCAGCGGTAGCAGACCACGGGGCCGCAAGGCAAGCGCATACAGGCAGCCCACGCATCAACGTATACCTTCCACCTGCGATCGAATCGCACCGCTATGTGCGCAGCGAGGATGTGTCCCTCATCGTCGAGAGGCCGGAGAGGGTGAGGGCAGTAAATTTGGGCATCGCTGCTTTCTTGGCCAGATGCGCGGCCGGCCATGATGCGATCGGCGTTGATCGTGACGCGGACGTGGCCGCACAGCGAAATGCCGCTGATTCGAGCCATAAAGCCTCGAGCTCAGCAGGTCATTCCGGTAAAACAGATGCAGGAATGGAGGACTTGTCCACTGCGCTCGCTTCGCTGGATGTACGAGCGGAAGCGAAGGTCGATCCGACTGACTCGACAGCATCGCTCTCAGCTTCCTCTTCTACCTCTGTTGCCGCCATCCGAGTGCACGTTACACGCAGCAAGATTCTGCTCTCGCACCCTGCGTTTGCAGACATACATGGAGAGCCCGTCTTGGAGCTTGCGGAGCAAAGCGCTGCAACGGCGCAGGGCGGCAACGATGCGCAGGCAGGATCTGCGCCTGTCAAGGCGGAGGAGACAGATGTGACAATTTCCTCTAAAGAGGCCGCAACGGACATTGTGGCGAAATTCGCTGCGGCTGCACGGGGCGAGAGCGCAGTGCACGGAGAGCAAGTGGGAGAGGAGCACAAGGCGGGTGATGATTCCGCCGGGCACAAACTCACGGACCAGGCAGCGCCTTTGTACCCCATCGCTTCTCAGCCGCGTAAACACGAGACTTATGCGCACTATCTGGACAGGCTCTGCTTGATGGCGCCCGACCGACCACCTCAATCACCACCCAGTGCAGCTCCGCACACGCCGAACAAGTTTCACGAGCACAGCAGCGCAGATCAAGCAGCAAGTCCAAAGAGCGACTCGAGCGAGGAATTGCGGGAGCGAGAATCCGAGGTGCCGCTAGGATGGCCTCAAGGGGATTTGTACCTGTGTGGTCCAGCGAGAGGCGACAGTGATGTCCAAGGCGTCGTGTACGACGGGGTCGACGGTGCGGACGGAGGTAGCAAAGCTGCGATCGAAGCATCTGTGGGAGCTATCAATCGAGCAATAGATGGCCTTTTTGCTGCACCGGGCGCAAGTCTGGCAGGCGCCGGAAGCGCCACTGCGGAAGCTTCTGCGTCGCGTGCGCCAGCTTTCGTGGTGGTCAGACCGCCCGGCCATCACTGCGGATCGGCTACGCCGAGCGGCTTCTGTTGGGTCAATAACGTGCTTGTAGGGGCATCGCTTGCGCAAAGAAAGTACGCGGTGGATAGAATCATTGTGCTGGACATTGACTTGCACCACGGCAGTGAGTCGGCTTTCTCGTGCGCGCTTAAAGACATTTGCGTGGTTCTCTGATTGCTCGAGCTTCTCTGCAGACGGAACGCAATCGATTGCGTGGCGGCTGAATGCCGAGGCGGCCAGAAGGGCTGGAGAGCGTAAGGCTCGCATAGCTGGGCTGCGGTCTCTACGAGGCAAGCCAAAAGGCGGGCGGCGCTCCGGCGCGGGCGGTGCTCAAGACTCTGCTGCTTCGGATGCGAACGCAAAGGAAGAGGAGCGCTTAACCAAGGAGCGGGACCTGCAGGTGTTCTACGGGTCTTTGCACGATATCGAGAGCTACCCCTGCGAAGACGGAGACGCGGAACTGGTCAGGGATGCCAGCACGTGCATAGAGGGTGCTCATGGACAGTGGATATGGAATGGTGAGTTGCGTGCCAGTTCTCATCGCGCATTGGGATTCGAGGCACGTGCACGCGAGCTAGGATGGTTGTGAAGGGATTTTCTCCGTGTTTCAGAGATGTGCCCACGTCTCGGAGCTGCGGAGACGACCCTTTTCATACTTTTAGGAAAAGGTCTGAGGAAAGTCCAGCAGACTGGGGTCTGCAGGATCTTCTAGAGCTGGATCGATATGAGAGACGGTCCTTCGGGACTGCACTGAGCTTGCCGCGTGCCAGCGACTTTTGGGAAATTTCTCGTCTCGTGAATTGCTGACTTTGTATGCCCCTCAACGTTTCGCAGTCCATCTGGAGCAGCACACAACGGAGCGCGAATTCGAGGAACTATATCGGCAAAAGTACTCTGTGCTTCTCAACAAAGCGCGTCACTTTGCGCGCCGAACCGATTCGCAATCGGATCGGACGCTCGTCATAGTCTCGTGCGGAATGGATGCCTGCTCTCATGAGCATCCTGGAATGCAGCGTCATGGCAAATCTGTACCGCCCGAATTCTACCGACGCTTTGCTGACGATGCAAAAACCTTGGCTAGGGATATCGCCGGTGGAAGGCTTTTGAGCGTCTTGGAGGGCGGATACTCGGACAGGGCATTGGTCAGCGCTACATTGGCCCATCTCTGCGGCTTGGCGGGCGTAGCGGGCGCGTCGGAATCCGAGGAGGGCCAAAAGAAGAAAGCGCCCAATGAGCCTTTACGCAACTGGTGGGACTTGGAGCACCTGGTAGCGCTAGAGAAGCTCGCTAAGAAAGCGGCTGCGCCTGCGACGCAGACGTCCTCGAGGGGAGGAGAATCGAGCAGACAGGCTGCGTGGCTGCAAGCTACGACCAGGCACTTTGCTACGCTGGAAGAGGCATGCGGGAGGGTCCGACCGACGCGTGGCAATGAGATGGCCTCGGCCCACTCTACGCCCAAGCATGGGGCCTCGCACACCGAATCGCCGAGGGAGTTGAGAGCAGGTGCAAGAGCTAGGCAATTGGCTTCTGGTGGCGAACAAGCTGCTCAGAGCCCGTCGAACAGAGACATGAAGCGAGAAGAGGCATGAGGGACGTGCGACAGGAACACTTTGGGGCGCGGTCATTGGGCACCTTGATCGCGTAGCCACGCAGGAACGCAAGTGTCTTGACTGCGCTAAAGGCCACCTGGCGTTACAATAGGCACCACCGGCACACCGATGCAACGGCGCTGACATCACTCGGAATAAGAACCTGCGTGTCTGTTGTTCGCTTACTTCAACGATCTCCATTCCGTTTCCGAGCCCCGCGGCGGTGGATTGACGGCGGGAGTGAGCGAGCCCCAAAATAGAGACTGCGCCGACTGTCATCAGTGACGGCCCGTAATTCGTATGCGTCGGCCCCACCGCGTCCGCGGAGCCTACCCCGAATATTGCGCAAATGCATTGGGCCCTCGTCTTTGGCGCAGCCGGATTGACAATGAGATCTTCGACCCTGGCGACATTCCACGTCAAAGCCCTTGGAGCTCTACGTGTCCCCAGAAGAGTTATAAGAGGAGATGGACTTCAGTGGAGCACGAGACCCCCCTTTTGAACACGCAAGCGCTGCACAGTATCGCACCTACATCGACTTCGCTACCGCGATGAACATCTTGTCCAAGCTCATTCTTTGTGCTCTTCTGAGCGCCCCACTTGCGGCCATTGCTGGACGCGACAATGGTGGCGCGCATGACCACGGCGGTGACCTTCCTGGCGGCTGGGGCGAAGAGGAGGATAAATGTGAGTTTGAGCCCAGTTTTTTTGTGCCCTGCTCGCTACTGGCTCACTCGTAATGTCATCACGCTCGCTAGACAATCGTGTGACCGTCATCCATCATCCGGCCGCTCTCAACGACGACGCGCAAAAAGTCGCCTTTGGGAACGCTTGCGGGCATGTTGGAGGCGCGGATGCTCAGTGGGACTACGTTTTGAATTCTGCTGGCGGACACGATGGCTGGTGCCATATTCCGTGAGTCGAGGCGTGCCAGCGGCCATCGTCTTGGCCCCGCGTTGCTGCGACTTATGCGCCGCTTTACAACGCTTGATCCCGACCTTTAGTGGTGAAGATGGCGGCGGCGGAGCGGACTACGGATTCGACGTTGGAGCTGCTCTGGGCAATGAGAGTCCCGAATGGAAGTTGGGCTATTACTGGTACTCGTGGCCCCCTACCACTGCAGCGACCGCAGCCGTGGTCAAACGTTCTCCTGATAGCGGTTCTAGCGTATGGGGAGGGGGACCGCAAAGGGAACAGTGTGAGCGGTAATTGTCAGAATCTGCTCTACCTTACTACTAGCTAATTCTGCCACACCCATCAGACCTCCGCATACACCCTAAACAGTGGCCCTCGTGGATGACTGTTGAAGACCAAAAGGCCGCCTGGGGAAAGGAATGCAAAGGTCTGTCAGGTGGACATGCGAACTGGGATCTTGAAAAGGCTCATGGTGGAAAGGCTGCTTGGTGCCACATTCCGTGAGTGAAGATAAACAAATCCCGTCTTGAACAGGATGGTAACGCGGGCTGACGCAGCGCGGTGCTGGATCTGCATGACTTTTCAGCGGAGGAAAGGACTTTGGGGGTTACATGATGGAGAATCTGCCGGCGCAGGACCCCGCTTGGGCCTTCGACTGGCGCTGGGAATCTTGGCCTCCTGCCTAAGAGGTGATGTGCGGTTGACCTGGTCCGCAGGCACCGCGCTACCAGTGGGCCCATGCTCCTTGCCCGCCGAAGGTGCAATCCCGAATGCTCGAGAAGCAGAAATTTGAAATGATTCACAAATGTCAGCCTTGATCTCGAGGTGCCGTTCGCGAGCGTGTTATGCCCCGCGTGTTTCCTGAAGGAGCGCCATAGCACCATCAAGACGGGTAGGGGATTGAACTCGAGCTCGTGCTAGAAGAGCATTGCGCCAAGGCTTGGCGCTCAGGCACCGTGTAGGGTCGGGTCAGTCGAGAGACCGCGGAGTGTAGACGGGAGCGCGCGCTTGTATATTTGATGGCATTCCCGATCACGACTAGCCAGTCCGGTCATCGACAACGCTCTGGCCATCACCGAGTGTAGATCGCACTGCTTCACCTATGGATGAAGAAAAAGAATTTGAAAAGCAAGTGCACAACGCACCGCAACGCCCTCGAAGTTTAGGGGTCTGCGAATTCGCGTAAGAGACGTTGCGCTCCCTTTGCACGATGACGCTCCGAGACCACGCGGCCCGACGAACCTGCTTGAGTGCCTTTTTCCATTTGTGTAATTCCACTTGTATGATGGCTCATGGCTTGGCCTTGAGTCAGGCACACTGCGGGTCCTGCCAAGAGTTGCTAAGAGGTCAGGTGATGTAGGTCTTCACACCGCCGCGCGACCATCTCTCGCGTATCGACGAATTTCCTTGCCGCCGTAGTGGAGCGGCACGGCGGTCAGCTCTTCATTCCAAGAAGAGATGGACCATGCTGTCTGACGTGCGTAGCTAATGTGGAGCTACCGAGGTCCCGAGGAGCTGAATTTGTCAGCGCTTTTGCAGGTTGTAGCCGAAGATAAATGGGTATGAAAAACCTCCATTTCTTCGGCCGCGTCGCACTTGTCCCATCTGCGACACACACCCGACGCTCTGCGACACTCGACGACCACTTAACAGAGACATTTGACTCCCCAACAATTGTGCTTTTGCAATGCCTCGCAGCTGTTCTACCATTGGCGTGGCAGTATGGATCGCTCTTGCTGTGCTCAGCAATTTGGCACTTGGCCGGGTGAATCTTTGGAGTGAGTCACGAGCTGTTGTCGAGTCGAAAAGGAGACGCGTGCAAATTTGACACGCCTCTTGCGGGTATCTGCTGCAGAGGTACGAACCGACCCGCCTTATATGACTTTTGAGGAAGAGCGAGGCAATTGGACGGTCACTTGCGAAACAGTAGTGGGCTACAAGGCCTTTTGGTCAGAGTACGCGTACCATGCCAACGACAAGGCTACGTACTGCCTTTGCGGTCACTACTAGTGAGTCGACGCGCCGTGAGGAGCTGGCGTATTCTGCCGTGTATGACGCTCAGTCGCCTTCGCACGACGACAGCACGAACGTTGATTATGGACAGCGAGTCATCGACATCTTGCAACCCAAGTTCCCTGAATGGACTTTCAATCGAGCTCCCATATCTGCCCCACTACCGAAGAAGGGTCCCAGACCAGGAAAAGCATAGAGGCGGTCGACACTGCCGCGCCTAGCGCCGACGGATCGTGCTGTATGGCTCAAAAAGAGGGAAGCGCTTCACCTTCGAAAGACACGCCGACAATCTTGGTCTTTCCAAAGAGAGTCACGCGCCAAGAGTGGATGTTGGGAGGTACAGGCCCACATACGCATGCGGGCGCGCATATCTGGTGCAGGGCACATTGACAGGTGATGCAGTCGCGGAACAGTCTAAGCAGGGCATGAGTCTGCTGCTTAAGCATGCGTACATGATGATTACAGGCACTCGTATTCTTTCGCTCGATTCTGACTCTCCGCTGTTCGATTTGTAAGAAATTCAACATTCTTTCTGCACAACAGCGTGCGAGTGCAAATGAGAGAGCCGCGATGCCCGCCCGAATTGTGACTCATTATTTACAATGCTTGAAGGCAAAATTCTGCGGGGTGCGTGCCTTTGCGGTCGCCTAGCCATTGTCACCTGAGTTGAAGGATGAGGTTCCGCCGCGCGCGGTGCAGGAACGTTGTTGCATCTCCAAAGCCTGTTGCGGGCTACGAGTCCGCGCGGTTGCCTGCATGTCAACTCATCTTGGAAACTCCTGGCGGCGGCGCTGTGGGTGTCTGACATGTCGGGCCGTCGATGTGCGTAGAAGCGCATTCTGTAAGAGCGCAGAGCTTCAAAATTTTTCACCGAAAGCGTAGAATCCATTTTCGACAGACGTCAGTGTGACTCGCTTTTTCGGTATCACCATATCTTCTTCTTGACTATTTGCTCTCACTTGCCTATCAGCGACCCTATACTTCGCCATGCGTTGTATCAATGCCATCTCAACCTGGCTTTTGCCAATACTTGGTCTGCTAACATTCATGTGCAAGGTGGCAGCGGCAACCGTCTACAATTGGAGTACGTATGGCCCGTTCGCATCTCGATGGTTGGGCCATGTGCGCTGGACACCGCTCCGCGCTCTTCTGTCCGCAGGGGTCACTCACGCTCCGTTCTTGATGCCGTTTGACGAACAGCAAGGGAATTGGACCGCAACCTGCCGGAAGATTGTCGGCGCCAGAATTTTTACTGCGAGCTACGAGTACTCTTCGCACGACGAGACCACATATTGCGTATGCGGCAACTACAAGTGAGAACAAGGGCGATCGCGGGTCTGAGTTCAGTTCGTGTCGTGGCTGACGCGTGTACGGCGCCTTTTGCAGCACGAATGTTGACTATGCACCGCAGGTGATCGACGACCTGCATTCCAGATTTGTTGGCTGGTTCTTTGCAAAAGCGACCGTCGCTGCGGGGAAGCCGCGCGGATCGAAAACACCTTGACAACGCCCATCCGACCGCAATAGTCTTCAGTCGGAGCGCCGACATGACATGAAGGAGGACGATCGCCAAGGTGTCACCAGCATCAAAATTTGTGACTTTGACGCGCTGATAGTGCCAAAGGACACGATGGGACGGATCGATTTGTGGAACGGTGCACCTCAAAGTCTCCACGGGGGAGAGTAACACTGGAACACAATGAGAGATGTCCAGGCACTCTCGCTACAATGCTCGCATTTGAAGCGCTACTGGTGGTGTTGTCAGCTCGTGAGACTGCACAAACATGTCATCAGCTCAAGCAGATTGGAAGAGCCTACGTGCACGACTTTTTTCTCATCTGTGGGCGTGGTGTGTAGCAAGCTTCATCGAAGTGCACCGGCACTTGACTCGAATCGATGATCATTTGGGCAGGATCGACCTGAGCGTGGTGCCTCATACAATATGTGTCGGCCCAGACACTTTTGGCATATACAGCTCAAGTAGTGCAGAATGCGTGTACCGGGAATAATGGCATGACTGCAGCGAATGTTGAATCCGCGGACCAAAAGACCCGGCACTGGCGATGATCACGAAGGCAGCCACCATGAAAAATACTGCTCGTCGGTGTTGACCTCCGTCTGCGCATGGGCAGACCACGCTCAGCTAAGAAGCGTGGCATCACCTCCGTCCACGTCAGTGCACAAAAGGTGCCAAGGCTATGACATTCATTGACAGAACATCGTTGGCTGAGGATTAAAAGAGTGCCATCACTGCAGTCGCAAAAAACACACCCACCCCGGCTCGCCCTCGGCCGACGTTAGTCCCGTTGGCTGCGACAATGGCGCGATCAGTCAGTCATTGCGTGAACCTCCGGCCGCGAGCGCCTTTGATATGAATCAATTCAATTTGGAAGTCTGTTTCCGGGCTGCGCGCGCGTTGCAATTGCGATGAGCAGCAGGTGCGTGCGGCGGAGGATAACGCTATAAAGGGTCAGCACTTGTCGGCAGAGGGCACGCACTCGAGAGTCCACTTACCCCACCTCTTCTCATCATCATCTAGTTACCCACCCCTTTCAGCATCCGAAATGAAAGCCTTCGTCACCAGTTTGCCTCTTGCAACGGCTCTTGCTGGTTTCAGCTTTTGCACCGGCCAGACCATATACACGGAGTACAGTGAGTAAGCCCTGGGCCTGTCTGCTCGACTCTTGGAGGATTCTCAAGACTGACTCAATTCCATCACGACAGGGGTGACTCACGAGCCACCTGGACTGAATTTCGACGGCCAAGTCAAAACGTGGACCTCGACGTGCCAAACACTGGTTGGACAACCGACGGTAGCACTGATGCAGTACGCTCATGTGGATGGCGGCATATACGCTTTTTGCAACACTGGAGCGCCGTGAGTGTCTCGGTCCTGCGACGCTGTAATAAGATCTACTTACACGCGTCTACTGCTCCTTAGAGCTTACTCGGAGTATGGGCCCGCTACGGTGAATTTCCTCAAGGGCCAGTACCCTGGTTGGAAATTCGAAGTGACCTCGGATTGAGGGCCAAGGCGGAAAGCAGCTGACTGCCACGCCCGACTCATGTTTGCCTGAGCGAGGCTCAGAGGTACCTCACTCTTTCGAGTGGCATTTTCGGCATCTCGACTCGCGGCTTTGTGGGATCAGGAGAGGCGTCACAGACAAGAATGTCACAATCGATCCTCACCAGGGGCACAGTAGCTGGCCGCTTGTGAATGCATGATCTTTCAAGCGTTCGAGGGGACGTATGGAGAAGATGAATGGAGCTGTGCGTCTTACTAGCCCTGCGGCCCGGGTGTGCGTCCAGCAGGGTCGCGAAAAGCTGAGACTTCCGGTGACTCTGCTTCCTTCGTGTCGTGAATGAGCGATGCTTGTGCATGACGCGCGTAGCATCGCCAAGGACGATACGGCTCTCGGCTCGCGCACTTCTGACGCGGGCGCACACATCGGCATGCTGCAAAAGGAACGCGACAAAGAGCGCAGCGCAAGAGCGGCCCGTGATTGTGATGCAGAGGCGGACGGGAGCATACGGCGCGCAGACATATGGTAGGCAGGCGACCAGTCAGCGAATCGAAAGGGGATGATCCGATCGCGGGACTTGATGAGGCACGACCGGCCCGTCGATGACGACTTGATGAGATTGACTGGTCACGTCTCGCCGGCCCGGGCAGTCGGAATCGTAAAAATCCCAACATCGCTGCCCGCCCGAGGTTCATTACTTGCGTCCTGATACAAATTAAGGATCTATACGACGAGGGACCGGCTTGTTGTCTGCAATGCGACATCGATGCGAGCAGCGTTCCGAGCCCCATGGCAGGGAATCAGTCCCACTTAGCCCGCCTGCGTGACAGCGAACCAGGCAAAGTCGCAATTCGCGTCTTGAAAGGCAGGTTCCTATAAATTGATGCACTTTCCAGCTCCGGAGGTAGCCCCTCTCGTAAAGTCTCTCAACTTGACAGTCTCGCTATCCGACACCAAGACACAAAGATCTCACAGTCGTCATGTCTCGCATCATCTGCCCAACATTCTTGTTTGCCTTGGTGATTCTTGGCACGATCATCTTGCCAAGTCAGGCAGTCATCGTCTGGAGTGAGTTGGGTTAGGGTTAGGGTTAGGGTTAGGGTTAGGGTTAGGGTTAGGGTTAGGGTTAGGGTTAGGGTTAGGGTTAGGGTTAGGGTTAGGGTTAGG